ATTTTGGGATATCCCTGTGCGCGAGTTTATGTCTCATTCATTAGTTTTATGTGTCACTCGTTAGAGGATTGTTTTCTACGATTATTGTTATTTTAGCATTTTATTTTATTTTTCACCTTCCAGGCGCACACACAGCTTAGCCCGAGGCCCCATGCCGGCAGCAGTATTTTAGCATTTCATGTAGCAGTTCTAAGCCTACAAAGAACTTTACAATTAGTATCTCATTTATTATCACAACTCTGGTCAGTCAGGATGTGAGATAAAGTGGTTTGCCCAAAGATGCCCAATGAGATTGGGGCTGAGGACTAAACTTAGATCTTCTGGGCTTAAAGTATAGCACTCTATCTTCCGGGTTGGCGTGATATGGAAATGGCGGATTCCCTCCGAGCTGCGGAGGGAATCGGCTCAACTGAGGACGGGTCTTGCCGCGCCGGCGACGCGGGGACCCTCAAAAACCGCAGGCGCTGAAGCCTGCGGACTGAAGACTCGGCGGGCACCTTAAGCGCCCCCCGATTCACGAAGAGCCTTTTTAAAGGCTGCGGAGAGGATACGGAGGGTGGCGTGGTGCTGAGAGTCGATCGCTACCTTGGTTGAGCGCAGCCGCGAGCCATGACTGGTGAGCGCTGATTCCCTTCCTTGAAATTCGGACTGAAAAGAATAACCCGTGAGTAAAAGGGAAATTGGACTTTATAAATATTATTCCGTGAATTTGAGACGACCGGGGGGTGTACTAAAAGGAAGTCCGCACCCCCCCTTCTTGCAGACGATCTAAAGCAACGAAATAAGAACTAAGCTGGAGTGCCTACCCTTTGTGGGGTGAGTTGAAAAAGACATTAACTTCCAAGATTTGGTAAAAAGTAACTTTGAGCTGAAGAGTGGAGTGTTGAAAGATCTCTTTTTGTGGTAAACAACCCCCCCCTCCCGGGCCCGGGAGCGTCCTGCCTTTGAGCTTGTGGAAGAGGTGCGGAGTTTGACAGCTGTCAAAGCTGTCAAACGGACAGTTTAAGTGGAAAAATTGCTATTTAAGATCCCTCTGGTTTAAAATGAGTTACAATTGAGTTAAAATTGTTGGAAACAAAGTAATAACAATAAGTTGGAGGATTGTTGGAGAGATTACCAAGTAACCAGATTCCCTCTAGGGGGAAGTCTGTGAAATTACAATGGCTGTGGATGGAAAGTTACTGGTGGAAATCGAAAGAATGTTTCATTTGGTGGGAATCTTACAAGAGCAGAGTCTAGCTATGAATAAACAACTCATGACCTTGACTTCTGGAATAAGCAGCTCTGCTGAATGTATTGAGGACCTGGATGAGAAAGAATCCACAGCTGCATTGGAAATGATAACTAAAGAAGCGGAAGAGACTAAACAAGAAGAAGAGAAAGTAAAGTTGGAAAGCACCAACCAGGAGTCGGCATCTGTGGAATATAAACAAGGAGACCTTTGGATTACATCTACCACATATCTGCGAAAGATGCAAAAGATGAAGGAGGAGGCCCCGGGAGCTTATGGAATACAGGAACTTAAAATAAAGAAATATGAGGGGGGCCTCCACTTTGATTTTGATTTTGAAGATGCAGATTTTGTGGAAATTTTCCAGCAGTTGCTTTCAAATGTTCTGGTGGGAAGAGAAAATGGTTGGATGGTGACAGAATTTTTTCGAGATTCGAGGGCCGACATAAAGGATTACCAACAAGACCGGCGGAGAGGGACTGAAAGAGATTTGAAAGCCTCGGACGTGAGGAACCCAGGCTGAGAACTGATATTTTGGACATGTATTGGGAAGGGACGAAAACCGGGGATGGGAGGGAGGGAAGAATAGAATACTAAAAACACTCAAGACTTTTGGGTTTGGTTAATATGACTTTTATTTAAGACAAATTGGGAAATCAATGGAAGAGAATTTGAGTCCAACTTAGGAAAATTTATTTTATTTGTATTTATAAATTTTAAGATGATTAAGAAGAGAAATACCAATTTGCTGACACAATTTTGGGAAGTGGGATGCATGAAGGGGGGTGGGGGGAAGTCTGGGAACAAGGTTAAGAAAGTGGGATTTTCTGAAACTATACATGTTTTTGTCTTTGTCTTTTTTGTGTGTATTTGTCTTTATAAAAGGTGAAAAGCCAATAAAAATTTCTATTAAAAATAAAATAAAATAAAGTATAGCACTCTATCATCCCACCGTACCAGCTTGTCATATTTTATGTGTATTCACACATGAATGTCCACGTGTGTGTGTGTGTGAGAGAGAGAGAGAGAGCGCGCACCAAGATCATTTCATTTTGTGGATTTCCTTTGGATTCACCCCTGGTTACAAACATACGTAATGCAAACAGTGGTTGATTATATGTCACCTAAATCTTGGTTAATTGGAGAGAGGTGGTAAAAATGGTATTACAGACCTGTAAGGTTATATCATATTACAAAATCTGGAAGTAAGAATTGTTGGAGGAAATGTGGAGTGATGGGAACGTACAGTCATATGTGGTGGGATTGTAGTTAATGAATTCTGGAAACAGATTGGTATAGAAATATCGGGAATTGTGGGTAGGAAGGTGGAAATATCTAAATTAATCGTTCTTATTAGCCTGAATAGCACTGAGTTAGAAACAAAAGAGGAATGTAAATGGGTAAAATTGATGGTAATTGCAGCCAGACAGGTTATAGCAAGTACTTGGAAAAATGCAGAAGGGCTAGAGGTGAACCAATGGGGGGGCGAATTGAAAAATATTATAATCTTAGAATATCTAACTGTGAAGATACATAAAATGAAAGGGTTTAAGGTAAGTAAGAAGGAGGAGGATTGGTTTGAGAAAATATTGAATTATTTGGGCAGGTTTGAACAACTTGGGGCAATTAAAATGTTAAAAGTTAAATAAACCTTGTGGAGGGAGGAGTGTTAAGTTATATAGAATTGTACATATAGCTGAGTTGAATATGTTATCATTGATTATGTATACCCAATGTATCAGCCACCTGGGGGGTTTCACTGTTTGTTTTCACTGTTTGTGTTTTGGTTGTTGGTAAAAATAAAATTAAAAAATAAAATTGGAGAGTGGTGACCACGTATACCAAATACGAAAGAAAATTGAGTATAAATATAACCCATTCATTGAGCCTCCCCAACGTGGTAACTGGGTTTCAACTCAACAATACAAAAGGTGGAAAACCCTCCACCTTGCTGTGGAATGGCTCAAGAATGGGATTTTGGCTCAACCTTATTCCACAGCTTGCCATTGCTAGGAAGGAATGGGAAACAGTATGGACGGCAAAGGGTGACTTCTGCATCCTGGTGCCTGTTGGTCTTCCTCTAATTGAACATGAATGAGGCAACTGAAGATGTGCTTGTCTTTGTCATAGCCAAACGTTCCTCTCCGTGGGTTTGAGAGAGAAGGAAGAATATATAGTGTAAGGATGACTTATTCCTTCAAATGGGCAACTTGTTTCTGTCCTCATTCTCCCCCTAGCTCCTGCTGGCCGAAAATCAACGGCAGAGGATGCTTCCAGGGTCCTTAATCTAAATGAGGTGTAATTGTCCCCCAATGGCCATCAGTATGGGAGGGATGCTTTTAGAATAGGATGCAGAGGTTCAAGAGAAGCAGCACTTCTGCGTCCGTACCATCATTTATTTGATCCTGTAAGTGATTGCTGCTCTCCATATTGGTGGCGGAAGATGTGAACTGGCCAAAGAGATTGTCGTCCACAGATGCATATCTGTGTCAACAGTTTCAACGTAGCTTTCTCCCTCAAAAATTAATGATTACGAAAATGTTACTACTTTGTAGTAATGGATGAGATTACTATTTATGTCACAAGAGTTCTAGATTCTTTCATCAGCAAGAGTCTTGATGAATTAAGTGATTTATGAACTTTTTATTTAATGCTCTGTTTCTAAAGTTATAGATTAACTGTGGAACTTTGTTGCTAGTTATGCATCCGAGTATCTTCAAGAGAATCCCTCAATGTCATCCATTGACATGTGGGAGACTACCTTGGTGGGGGTGGTTGCGATCATTATCATCATTGATGTAAGGTATTGGCTATTTGCTACTTGATAAACTTGTACTGTGGGGAACCCAAATGGAAGCGATGCCTTGCTATCACCCAGTCACATGATTATTTATATGTACATGTTTTGCTATTGCCTTCAGCCTTTTGTTTTAAATTCTCAGTCAAAAATCAAGATAAACTGAATCGGCTTCCGCAAACCGACTGAACTTAAGTCCACACCATGTTGTGCATTATATGTATAGCCTCAGATATTCATATATTTTGCACCAGTATGTCAATATTAAAATGACTGATCTCATCAAATATCTTGCGCGTGTGTGTTTCAAATGCTCTCTGAAATCTCTCTTAGTGACTTCTTCACCATGTATCAAGTGTGGATATAGGTGGTTGCCTGTGAACGCCCAGTGAATGATGCACCCCCTTGCTCATATCATTTTTTTAAAAAAATAGTTGTACAGGGCAACCCCTGCATGTACAGAGTGTTTTTCTTCTGTTTTTAAGATGCCCGGGGGAGGCTGAGTTGAGAATGACTCTAAATTACACAATGTTGGAGCTGGGAAATCAATATCATTAGATATAAGAATAGGTGGCACCTAACTTTCTTAACCTGCTATTTTCCACCCCAGATGTAGGGATAGAAGAATTTAGAAGAAGGAGTTGTTGGGATGTTTATTTTAATAGGGAGATGAAGAGATGGAATAAAAAGCTAGGGGATCAAAGATCAAGGCAGTCAGTGGCAGGGGTTTGGGAGGGGAAGTACGATTGCAATGTCAGTACTTGCAGTGCAAACTCTCACATTTCATTCAACTTCTGACAATCTCATGCTTACAGCATCCACATAATAGCTAAAATGGTTGCCATGGGTGAAATTTCCAGAGAAGCTTTATTTCCCATTGTATTCAAAGGGGAGTTAGGTGTCTCATTCCATGCTTGCGCAACTGAAGGTTAATATTAACTGTCATATCAACATTTCCCACAAGAAGCCAGGTTTTCTTTCATTGTTTGAAAAAAATCAATACTTTATTGCAAAATATTTATTTCTTCCAAAAGATGTGGTCAGTTAACATTTTAACATTTGAGACACATCTTTCCTTAGAATCAAACCCCAATTTTCAACTGAAGAATGAATAATGAAGCAGGAAGAGACACAAGGAGGAAACAGATTCTGGTGGTAATGGGAGCATGGAGGATGCATGAGAGAAACTATCATGGTGTTTAGTTGCAAGTTGTGGCCGTATCGGAGAGCACTAAGGAGACGTTGACAACAGTTGGTTTACCCGTGTTCTTGTCCACGGTCTTCTGAGTGCTGTTCATGGGCAGCGCCTCATGTCCCACGACACAAGTGTAACGGTCTCCATGACTCCAGTCACTTTCACTGATGTACAATATGCTATAGACGAAGAACTTTCCTTGTGTCCTGGGCTCTTCTTTGGGTTCACTGAGGTAGAAATCTGCAGAATTCACTGGCTGATCATTGTGGAGCCACTGCAGAAAGATACCTTTGGGGGAGAAACCTTTCACTAGGCAAGTGAGGGTGGCTGTTTCTCGCAGAGCTAGTTCTTCTGAGGTAGGGGGAAGGACATAGACGGCTGGGGTAGATTGGGGGCCATCTGGAAGGTGAAAAAAGAAGAAAAGGAATGAAGAGACAATCAAATGTGCATTCCTTATCATTTTTACCCACAATTCCTTTTGTTTCATGAGACCTGACTTAACCTTTGGCCTCTCGGATATATAGGCTTGGCTGTTTTGAGAGAGACAGGGCACTTTAAGAACCAGAGTGAAGCCTTTCAAAAAGGGAACTGGGCAAGTCAGATTGGCGAGGCAGCAAAATGGATCAAGTCCTAGTTTTGATGCAACAGCCGTTTATGGACCAGAAATGGACCTAGTTTTTACTGAACAGTTGGATCACATGGTTCTCCCTAAAGTATAGGAGGCAATGCTAAGAAGATTGACACTGCTGATACTGGAGTAGGACACCTTGTGCTAGAGCAAGGTGAGAATACAGGTTCCATCTGACAGCAGAGGAGTGTGGACTGAAGTTCGCTACGTGGCCTTCATCAAGTCGTAGTCACTCAGGTTGGCCTAGTTCAATGGTTCATAACGGTAAGAGTTCCAAAAGCAGCTGTCAAAATAATAAGTAAGGAAAGTGTCCACTGGGATACCCTAATAGGAGCTCATAGGTTCCAGCAGCTACTGAAGTAAGGGCATCATTGAATACGCTGAAGGAGGTTTTTTTGAAGGCCGCTGACTTTCTACCAAATTTCTCTTCAGGTGGCAACTATTCTGAGGGCAGATGAGGAGCCTGACAGATCTAGGGATCTGTGAAAACATGCAACGCTAATGTGTAATCTTTCCATGGGATGAAGTAAAACAGGTACCTACCATTAACCTTTTTCAAAGTTTTGTCGATAGGTTCAGGAAGTAAGCCTGGGAAATTAACTTTGCACGTGAACGTTTCATCGCTGTCCCACTCTGTGGCGCACACGGTGGCTGTAGCATCAATGTAAGTAAGCCCGTTAGCCTGATCTTCTGGCTTTCCAAGTTCGGTCTTCAGTAGTGTTTGGTCAGATTCTTTTGTCCAGGTAACATTCAGTGCCGAAAGATCCAGTTCAAGAGGTACGTTTGAAATTCTGCAGGTCAGCTTGGCTACCTTGGTCTGGAAGATGTCAGCGAAGGATGGTGGGATTGCTTCCACACGGACATCGTCGTTACAAGAAATGCCACCTGAAGAATGACATGAGATAAGTGAGAACTAGGTTTGGTTCCACAGTAATTAAGACAACAGAACACACCAGTGTTCCATACACTGTTGGCAATCAATGCTTTAAACACCCAACTTACTTCAAAGTCTCCTTCCTCATGCCCAAATCAAATTCTCTTAACCTTTGCTGAATACTGGCTATATATAATGTGTGGCTTGACCCTAAGATCAACTGGGAATTTCCTCTCACTACCTGTGTACTATGTTCTGCAGGAAAGAACTTGTAGAAATGAGCTCTTGTGTGTTCCACAAGATGGACTTCATTACTTTGGGGACCCACCAAAGCTGAGAATCTTTTGAGAAAAGCTACAGGATAGGGCTTTCAGAATTATGGCACGGCCCTTTTAAATAGCAAATTTGAGCTAGGAGATTTTACATTTGTAGAACAATATCAACATGGGTCTTTAGCATAGAGGAGAATATTTAATACATTGATATCAGAATATGGATGAACTGAGATCTCACCCAACATTGAAATTATTGTTTCTCTCCCCTCCTAATCATTCTGGGTGTATGCTGAAGGATACAAGTGTTGTTGTTGTTTTTAAATAGGGTTGCATTGAGCAGTGGAAATGGGACTGGAGATAGATTATTCTTATTCTGAATGGTCAGATTTCTCATAAAAGAACAGTGAAGCTCACCTTCACAAAAAGAGTTCTTGTTGATCTTGAGTGTGTCATTGAAGTCCTTGCCATTCACCGCACAAGAGAAGGTAATGTCGCTGAGCCAGTCTCTCTTGGTGACTATGAGTTCACTCTTTATGCTGTAACCACGGCCCTCTCGGATTGGCTGGGTGGTGGTGAAGCCAGAGTCAAGTACCTGTCCCTTCTTCAGCCACTGAAGTGTGTACTTGCTGGAGGGAAGGTTAACTACGCTGCAGGTGATGGTGGCATTCAGGTAACTGCCAAAAAAGGCTTGAATGGGTGGTGCACGTACAGACATCTCAGGGTTTGGCAGTACTTCTGGCGTTTCTACTCGAGAAAGAGGGGGAATTGCAAGAAAGAATGAGTTATGGCAGGTGGGTACAACACTCTCAACAGAAAAAATGTAAATATGTAAGGACTGGAGTTACATATATGTGTATATTCAGCTGTATTTAGGAATACATGTTCACATGATTGTCTTCCAGCTGTATTGTGATGCATACTGGAGAAACATGTTCACATTCTTTTGACTCAATGGGAAGCAGGGCTTCATTTGAGTCAAGGCTAAGCTGGGCTGAGCCTTCAGAGTCACAGCACAGCATTGGAGCAAATGGAAGGAATGTGCACTGCTGGGCATGTGCAGAGCACATTTCCCATGCTACAAGTGAGGCATATCCTACTCAGCTAGGACAGAGGATGCAGCTTTGATCTCCTCTTTTAGAAACAAATCAGCACCTCTGAAAGTATGTGCCACAATACACAGCCTCTGACTACTTGTGTCTAATCTTTTGAAGACGGCCTGTGTTGTTATGTTGGGAATGTTGAACAAGACGAGACAAATACATTCACTTACCGCAGCCACGGATCACTCGTATCACTGCGTTTCCAGAAGGGTGGTCAGCCTTGCAGTAAAATGGATCATAATTTGTCCAATCAGCAGATGGGACAAGTGCCTGGGAACTTGCGGTGTAAGTCCCACCGGAGCCGAGTACTGAAGGAAACTTCTTGGACGTGATTGTACTGTCGCTGACATTGTTCTTATTGTTCCAGGAGAAAGTGACCGAGTCAGGAAGGAAATTCTTGGCCAAGCACCCGATGGTGACCTTTTCACTGCCCTCGCTCCCAGGAGAAGCAATGAGAGGGAAAAGAGATGGGGCAGCTGAGGGAACTGAGGGAGAAGAAAAGCAGAAGGATGGAGGGTTTTTGGAAGGTGTTAAAAGTTCAGCTGGGGTTAACTAACTGAAAGGAAGCGAACCGTTGCATTGTTGAGAAAGAGAGACAAGGGTATCAAACATGAGTATATGTGTGTTACTGGATGGATTGTTGTATTGTTGAGGTGTTTTTCAACACAGAATCAACATTTTGGATGTATTTGTGTTTAACCCCATTCTGCATGAAATATACCCAGCCTTCTCCCTCCTTCACTTTGTAAGTAGAATTCCCTTTCTCCTAGTTCTCAGCCATAACTTATAGCTGGTGTAGGGTGTTTAAGAACCTGAGCTATGAACTTCGGAGTCTAGTCAGTCCAGACATACGTGACCTTAGCCTCATCACTCTGGACCACTTCGGAAACAATATTGTTGTAAGAATTGCACAGTTAATGAACATACAGCACCTGGGGAAAGTGTATAAATATGTACAGCATTGTTACTGAATAGCATCAGCTGGAGAAACACACTGCCTAATATTCCCCTTTCATCATTGATGAATAACAACTGGCCAAAGCTCTGAAAAGAAATGTTGGTCATGCTTCCCTATAATAACCACCAGAAAGGCTATTTACTCTCAGTGAAGGAGCAAGAACCACCAGAAAATCTGTTTCATTATGTCTGTTATCCAGAGGTCCATGCTAGGAACCATTTTTATAACAACCATGAAGCACAACCCTATCCCTGTCTACTCAAAGGTAAGTCCCACTGAATATAATGGGGCGTATAAGTGCATATAAAAGTAAGTGCATATAAAATCTAAGCAGAAATGAGCTGGCAGCGAGGAGAATGCAACTGGAGTAGAAACATTGTGAGGCTGTTCATTTTGCTTTCTGTGGAGTTCACATCTGGCTTATTCTGTTGTACAGTATTTGCTTCATTACAACACTTCTAGAGAGTCAGATGCACCCTCTGAAATGGTCACATTTTTTAAAAAGTGGGCAATGTCAGGCGCGGTAAAATGGAATGAAGATTTCAAGATTTCGAGGAGCACACAGACTTTCTTGCAAAATCACGAGCCATTTCATATTCTGATTACTGTTCAACACTGCTGTGTTATACAGTACCCTTCCATACCAGAACAGCATAACCAGCAAAAGAATCAAAACGATTTTTGTAAAAGGAAACCCAATCACTTCAAAGAAAGCTAATTCAACAGAAATATGACATCTTTCATTGTACTACACTTATTGACACCATGAGTCTCCTTAGCTATATCTAATGCAGTAAGCCCTTGACCCCTTTTAAACCATCAAAGGGAATCTGCACTGTGTTGCAGGTTAATATTTCTGACACCAATGAGCACCCCCCCCCATATAAAGCACAAAGCAATGGTTAAATAGTGATATTCCCTGGCTAAACTCGGAACTATTTCAGATGGGTTGTCGTAGCTTTTGGCTCTGCACCAACGAAGGGCAGAGCAGCAGCCATTGGCACCCTGACCTGTTTCTTCATTCGGCAACTAGAATCTGTGAGACTAAAACACATACATAGTTATGGTTGCCAACTGACCAGGAAAACTGCTCTGCTCTTCTCCTGTGCCTTCAGCAGCAACTTGATGCACGGAAATCAGCAGGTGACCTTTGTCACAGCAGGGATGTCAGCGTATCAGACTGCTGTTAAAGGTGCAGCTACTCTGGTCTGTTGAAATGGCGGCAACTGTGCCCAAACGAAACAAGTGATATACAATCGAGTACAGCTATGCTGAATGAGAGAGACCTGAACTCCATCCCAATACAACAACTGTATCTAATGCAATCTCAAGTCTGAAGCTGCTCAGGATGCAACATGGGTCATCCATGCCTGGTTCAGTAGCTGTCTTGATTGCACATTATGAAGCTTATAATTTTCCAGCTAGTCTTGCGCTGGCAAGCCAAAGGAGTTGCAAAAACTATGTTGGGCTGGGAGATTTGCAGGTTTGTGGACACTGGAAAGGAGGCACCTTTCCCTTCCCCACCAGCCATCCTAAGCAGTATAGAATGGGGAGACTTGCGTGCCTTCCTACCCAGAGCTGGGCATGGGAGAGCCAGGAGGAAGCTGGCTGAGCCACTAACCTCCCCACAAATGGTGCTGAGATATGCCTCTCAAATGTCCCCCACCTGGCTCCTGATCCTTACAATCACTTGGGGATGAGGCTGAGCGGCTTCCTTCCAGGTTTTTCAAAGACAGGGCTAAGCTGTGTGGATTGAATACCTTCAAATGGAGTGCCAGGTTTTAGGGAGGCAGGCAGAGGTGGGCCAGGTGGAGACAAGTCGCTTACCTCAAAGCCTTTCTAAAACCTGTACTAAACTGAAGTTCCCAGCCCCTATTGAACATAGGAGGCTGAATTATACCGAGTCAGACCATTGGGTCCATCTAGCACAGTACTGTCCGCATTGCCCGACAGCAGCTCTCTAGGATTTGTGCCATCCCTTGGCTCTTTCCATGGGCCTCTGGATGAGGCTCTTAAAACAGCTGGGAGAAATTAATTGCTCTCCTCAGCTTGTCTCACATCTGCTTCTGAGTTAGCAAGCTTTCTGCCTCCTGGTTAAGTCTTAAGCTTCAGGGAGGCTAAGCGGAGGACACAGTTGCTTTTTCCAGCCTTCTCAAAGCTTGTGTCACACAGCTCTCAACAGGGAACCATGCAATTCTTTCAGCTGAGTATATGCACTCGGGGAGGACAGGGTGAAGGAGCCAGCTCTCCCCAAGCCAGTGCTGATCTTGGAGGTTTGCAAGGCTCCTAGCTGAGAATCAAGCTTCGTAGAAATCCCTGTTGCATCTCCAACCCTGCTATATAGCTCTGGAAAAAAACTCACCTCCTAGGTGAGAGGTGGGCTTTGGAGAAGCAAGGGGGCTGCTGGTGCTTTCCCCATCATTTTGAACACAGAGCCCTCGCTGCAGCTGAACACTTGGCTTCAGAGAGATCCTGGGTGCTTCCTGCACTATAGCTATAGCTGCTGGAAATCTGAGAAGCTTGCCTGCATCACAGCTCAACGCTGGGCTTCCACAAAATTAGGGGATGCCAAAAATTGCCCCCATCACAAAAGCTAGAAATGAAGGCAAACCCACTCAGCTCTTGCCTAGCTAATCCCTGGGCTTCAGAGAGAGCCCAACTGCCTCTCTGTCCCAACTCCAGCTGCTATAGCACTGGAAATATTTCTTATTTCAGGGCTGAGCGGTGAGCTTCAGAGAAGCTGGAGCTTTGCCCATCAGCCACCCAGTTTTTCCTCAGCTGAGCACTCAGCTTCAGAAAGACTCTGGGTACTCCTCCAACTCAGCTAGAACTGCTATAGATCTCCATGCTTGCATGTACCGGTAGTTCTCTTTCCAACAACCTAAGGGGCTTCCGAAAGCTTCCCCCATCATTCTCAGAGCCAGAGCTGAGCAGCAAGCCCTCCAAGCTGTTCCCCAGTTGAGCCCTCGGCTTCAGAGAGACTCTCACTTTTCCCTCTGCCCTTGCTATTGCTGCTATGGATTGGAAAAGCTTGCATAAGAAAAAGCTAGGGGCTTTTTGACACTATTTCCAAAGCTGTATGTCAGCAGGAAAACACACAGCTCTCTCTCAGCTCAGCGCTGGGCTTCAGAGAGACCTTGGTCATCATCTCTGGCTGCCATTGATCTGAAAAGTTTGCAAGTCCCCCAGAGGAGCAGTCAAGGGAGCTAGGCGGTTGCCAGATCCCCTGCCGCGATCATTCTGAAAGCTGCAGCCAAGATGGGAGCCATCCAGCTCTTTCCCAGCAGATCACTGGGCTTCAGGTTTTGGCTGGCTGGTCTCCCTGCCCTAGGCTCAGCTGCTATCAGTCTAAAACTGAAACAGATTTGAGACACGGTTTGCATGGATCCCAGCTCAGTGCTGGGCTTCAATGCAAGCCAGTGGGTCTTGAGAGTTTCCCACATAGTTCCCAAGCCCAGAAATCCAAGGGGAACAATGGAGCTTTCTCCTAGCTGAGCATTTGGCTATAGAGAGAATCTGGCTGCTCCCCCAGCTTTGCTACAGCTGCCAGAGGCAGGAGAGGCTTACATTCATCTCAAATGAGTCTTAGGCTTCAGAGACGTTAGTGGGCTATCAGGAGCTTCCCCCATCATTTCCAAAGCCAGAGCTGAGGGGCGAAACTGCCCAGCTCTTGGCCAGCAAAGCACTGGGCTACAGAGAGACTCCAGTTACATCCCCAACCCAGCTACAGCTTTGGATGACCTAGGGAGCTGCTGGAACCTTCCCTATCATTCTCAAGAGTCCCAGCAGAGTCCTGAGCCACCCAGCCTGGCCCTGGCCAAGTGGTGGCCCCAGTTGTCGCTGCTGTAGCTCTGTTAAAATTTCCTAGCTCCTAGCTGGGCAGTGGGCTTCAGAAAAATAGGTGGGTGCTGCTGCTGCTGCTGCTTTGCCCACCATTCCCAGAGACACAGTTGAACACCAAGCCATCCAGCTCTTTCGCAACTGAGTACTGGGCTTTAGTTTGCCCTTTTAGCCTCAGCTGTAGCTGCTACAGCTCCAAAAATATTTCCTAGCTCCTAGCCAAGCGGTCGGCTACAGATAAGCTAAGTGACTGCCGGTGCTTTCCTTGCCATTTTGGAAGCCGTAGCTGAGCACAGAGCCATTGAGCTGTTCCTCAACCGAGTGCTGGGCTTCAGGTTGCCCTCCCTGCCACAGCTGTAGCTGCTATAGCTCTGAAGATATTAACAAGCTCCTAGCTGACCGGTGCGCTTCAGATAAGCTAGGGAGGTTGCTTGAATGTTCCCATCATTCTCGGAGCTGCAGCTCAGCACCGAGCTGCCCAGCTCTTCCCTGGCTGTGCACTGGGCTCAAAGCTGCTGTCCCAGCCCTAGCTTTAGCTGCTATAGCTCTGAAAAGGTTCCCTAGTTCCTAGCTGAGCTGTGGATGACCGAGGGAGCTGTTGGAACCTTCCCTATCATTCTCAAGAGTAACAGCACAGTACTGAGCCACCCAGCCCTGCCCTGGCTAAGCAGTGGGCTTTCGGTTGCC